AATTTCGAATTTTTATTTAAAGCTTGAATTTTTGAGTGTTTTAGGTATCATTTTTGAGTTCCTCTCCTTAAAAAATAGTTAAATAGTTAAGTACAAATTTTCAACACTATTGAGCAAGTATTTTGTAAGTTAAAGCTAATTGTGTTATCTTCAGACATTAAAATTTGGAGTAAAGTTTTCTTTACTCCAAAAGTCTGTCTGAAGATAACACAGTCTAATAAAAGTCAGACATTAAAATTTGGAGTAAAGTTTTCTTTCATTAAAATGAGCTTGTATTCGGAAAATCATCAAAATCTAAGATAGCATGGTGTCGAAAAAAAATTTTTTTTTGGGGGGGGGGAGGGAGTTGATTGACATGGAATGACCTATAAACATTTTTTCCATAAAGTTGCAAAAAAATAAAAAAATTTTAAATAATAACTTAATAACTTAGTCTTTTAAAAATAGTAATTTTTAATCATTTCATTAGTAAGATTTGTTTATTCATGATGTAACGATTTTTTTATTGCGTTCAAATTGTTAAAACATTAAAACAGCTGTTGTCAAATTAGAAAGAAAAAAAATATATAAGCGTTGTAAGTTACAGCGTGCGATTGGACAAGATTGTTGTCCAATTTAAAGTGGGTAAATAATACAGTAAAGAATAGAAAGTGACCAATAACTAATGCTGTAATAGAATAGTGGTAGAACTTTCTGCTCACAACCAAGAGGTTCTATAATCAAATCATATGCTTCAGGGTTGGTCAGGAAGCAGGTACGATCACACTATATATAATCACACATATAATATTTAATTGCGACAATATGGTCACAGCTTTTTAGATATTTTGAGATCGTTTCAAAAACGCAAAAAAATATTAACTTGATGGGAGATAACTACTAAAAAAAGCAAAATAAATTACATTTAGAATAAATTATTTCTAAACTACTCTCTTTTACAATTTTTATATAAAATTAGGCGACACTTTTATAAAAAGTAACAACTTACTATTAATGATCATTTACTAAAGTAAACCAACGTTCTTCAGTTTATCAAAGAGTATAATACAATTCCTTATTTAAGTATTTATGTTTTATTTCAACAACATTCTAAAAAAACCTAATGTTGAATTATATAATAACTAAAGAACTAAATATATTTTTATAACCATTTCATTCTTTGCGTAATTTGCAAAGTTTAGAATATATAAAAGAATTCTTCTTAAGATAAACAAAAGAAATAATTAAATCACTGCGTTACTATAAAAATATTATAACAATATTTTCTTTTAGCAGTGTCTCTAAAATATTTATAAAAAATTCCCCAATACAAAGACCTCTAAACAGTGGTCTATAATAATCAGTATTCAAACTGCAGACTATGTATACATTTAATAACTTTATATTTTCCTTAATTCAATCGATTTATTATACTATAATATATATTATAAGTTAATATATAAAAGATACATTACATTCTAAGTAAATTATGATTTTTGTTTTTTGAAAACTAGAAGCACGCTTTTATTGCAAACATTAATGTTTAAACTAAAAGGTATAATATATTTATGAGAAGGAAGCGGAACTGTTTCACAATACTGCTGATGTTTAGTGAGTGGGTTTTTTAATAAATTTGTATGTTTATTTTTCTGTATGGACCTCTGCGCAGTGTTCGTTAACTCGTAAGTCACTTTATATAATTGTATGTATGTGTTTTGCTCCAACCTCTGGCGCAATGTTTACCCTCTCCTAATTTACTCTATATATATATATATATATATATATATATATATATATATATATATATATATATATATATATATATATATATACATATATATATATATATATATATATATATATATATATATATATATATATATATATATCTATATCTATATCTATATCTATATATATATCTATATATATATATATATCTATATATATATCTATATATATATATATATCTATATATATATATATATATATATATATATATATATATATATATATATATATATATATATATATATATATATATATATATATATATATATATATATATATATATATATATATATATATATATATATATATATATATATATATATATATATATATACTATATATATATATATATATATATATATATATATATATATATATATATATATATATATATATATATATATCTATATCTATATCTATATCTATATCTATATCTATATCTATATCTATATCTATATCTATATCTATATCTATATATATATATATATATATATATATATATATATATATATATATATATATATATATATATATATATATATAGATATATATATATATATAGTAAATTAGGAGAGGGTAAACATTGCGCCAGAGGTTGGAGCAAAACAGATACATACAATTATATAAAGTGACTTACGAGTTAACGAGCACTGCGCAGAGGTCCATACAGAAATATATATATATATATATATATATATATATATATATATATATATATATATATATATATATATATATATATATATATATATATATATATATATATATATATATATATATATATATATATATATATATATATATATATATATATATATATATATATATATATATATTTATGTTCAATAACCTGTAAGTTCCTGTATGTCTACTTGATTATTAATTTTATTAACTTAGATGATTAGAATTTTATTGAAATCAGTTGTTGTTGAATGTATGATTTTTATAAAATCAATCATGCTAATATTTTAAAATGATTTACATTTAAAGAATTAAATATTAATCTATATTTTTTTAAATATATAATTATTTATATAATTAAAAAAAACAAATATATAATTTTAAATATATAACTATTTATATAATTTTTTATAAAACTTAATTAACTTACAAAATACAATTTGAATTAAATTTTTTTTAATAACGATCAAGAAAAGTAAATCATCACTTAATTTAAAAGCGCAAAGCGCTATTAAACTAAGTGATGATTTTAAATATAAAAACATTGTGAAGCAGTGATCAAATTGTCACCAATAAATAAAATTTGCGTGGTCAGGAATAGAATGCAATCGCACCCAACCAAGCCTGATGCCTCTGAAAGTACCATACTCAAATTGTTTCTTCACACAGCAGCTTTGTTTCAGCTTTTGTTTCATGTTTCAGTGTGAGTTCAAATAAATAAAAAAAGAAAGCCTCCTCAAATATAAATATAATATTGAATAATGGCTCTTGGAGAGTTTAATGTGAAATTAATTTAAAAATGCCTTTAAATCAAAAAAAAAATAATTCAATTATTCTTATATAGGTAACTTGTCATAAGATTTTTTATTAAAAAAAATCAAATAATGAAGGGTAATGCTTAGTAAAGTTTTGTATTTTCATAAATTTTACTATTTATTACAATGAAAACATTGTAATAGTAGAAAATTGTATATAATATGCTAACAGGTATGCATGTAAGTTTTAAAGTAAAGTAAAACAAAGTAAAAAAATAAAGTAAAAAAAAGTTATTTAACTTCATATAAAAGTAATCAGGAACATATTACATAAAACTATAGCTATGACCAATTTTTAATATACAATATTTATAAACAAGAAATATTAGCTACATAAATCGATGAAACAGTGGGGAAGGGCGTTTAAAATTTTTGTTAATGATTACTTAAAACTGATTTTATTGTTTATACAATAAACAAAATAATTAACAATAAAACCACTTATAGTTTTAGGAATAACTATATTGTTTATTAAATAACAACTTTGTAACAAATTACAATTACCACTAATTTTAAATAACAAATATATTAATTCTGTATAAGTTGTTCATAACAATCAATAGTCAAACCATATCAACCAAGTTAATCGCAGTATACAATTCCCTTCTAATTTTAAAGATTGAATCTGCTGATTCAAAAAGCAAAATATAAACATTTATAGGTGAAACCGCTTTATATGTTGTAAGAAATTCATCAACTTGTCAAATATTGCTTGAAATCAATGAGTAATTTAAAACAGTTAAGTATCCAAGATTTCAATTATATTGAGTCTAACATAATTAGTTAATGTTTAATGCTAAATGACAAATTTCTGACAATTAGAACATAGGATTAATAATTTCTTAACATAAAAAATATATAAAAACTTAAGTTGTAAAAAAATTTAGTCAATTAAAATTACATCTAAAGAATAGTAAAAAGGAAGTTTAAAGATCTAGGTTTCTGCATTCCAATGATAATGGGTGATTAACAGAGATCATTAGTTTTCAACCAACATTGAATTATCAACATAATTGTTATAATTAAATCAGCAATAAGTTATTAATATAGAGGGAAAAAAAATCTATAATTATCATATTTAAATAATGATAAACTCATAATTTGCATTAAGATCATGATATATGCATATAGTTTTATATATGAGAATATTTTTAATGAAAATAAAATTACTATTATTATTTTTTTAACGAAAATTAGTATTACCAGTGAAATAAATATTATATAAAAGCTAAAAATATTGATGTTCATATGCTAAATGTATTTTTACTTTGATATAAAAAAAATTAAAATTTAAAATGATGAGATGGTAAAACAAAGTAATTCGGTTCGTGATAAAGAATTTCAACTTATTATTGCTCAAGATAAATTCAATTTAAAAATGTTTTATGTAATATTTTGAGGGTGTAATTACAAAGGACATGAATTTTAAAGGAAAAAGATCTGTGTTTAGAATTTTCTTTAATGAGTGCATGGCAAATAAAGGCGGAAGCCAGAAGTCATAAAAACATGGCCTGATTACCCATAACTATATCAGTTGTTTTATGTATTTAAAGATATTTAACATATATTGTACATAGATCTATTGTTTAAATACTATTCTACTTTTTGAAATTTATTTTGATGTAACATAGTTAGCTAAGAGCATAGATTTATGCTGAAGGCAGCACATTCATTTATTACAGGTAGATTATTGAACTTATTCTTATAGTTAATCGAGGAATGTCTCTTAAAACATACCTCAAGAGCTTCAGAGGTCATTGCTAGCCTCTCTAGGCAGGATACAACTTCAAGTACAACCTCCATGTTCAGCACCTGCAAAGAAAATTTTTCTGAGTAAATTTTTCGATTTTGTAAACAAAATCACATTACATTCTGGAAAAACTGGAGTAAAATGCTATTACATTGCCTTCGGGATCTACTGCTTTATCTAAACGTGCCTTGATTTCGAGAGCAGTGGGAGGCATGAATGTCAAAATACTGTAACGATTTTTCCAAACAGTACACCCGTCTGCTTTGCCAAGCCAGACATTCTGTTCTACGAAATTTTGTCATGAGCGCTAGATATTGCTGTCAGTACTTACGGGAACTGAACCGAGCCAATCGTGCCTTATTTTATGTCATTAATTTAAGTGCATTGTGGGTACTTGCCTCAATAACCTTAAGATGAAAGTTTAAAATAAATTACGGCTTTATCTAAAAACAAATTTGTAGTTGATGTTAAATTGATGTTAAGCAAATAAAATAACACAATAATGAATCCGAAAAAAAAAATTGTTATAATACAGAGCCGTAACCATAATTTTGATATTAGGGGGGCCTATGGTTCTTTTAAAGGAGGTTGGGTGTAACGAAAAGCTTCGACTTTCATTTACAATATATATATATATATATATATAATTTTTATAAAAGTTCCATATTTAATACTTAATTTTTGAGTATTTATAGAAAAAGTAAAAATTAAAAAAGTAAAATGTTTTTAGTCATTCTACCAATTTATTGAAAATGCCCAAACAAAACGCGTTCTCTTCTCTTAAACAATATTGAAAAAGGCGCGTGGGTTCAAACTTGCGAAAACGAAAGTCACGACCCTTAAATTACATTAAGGTTATAATATATTTTGGTTGCCAGTAGACAAGAGATTATTCTTTGAATATGCAGTTTAAAAAGTAATATAAATGCTGTACTTCCAATACTGTCGTCAAAAAAAAAATGTTTTCAAGTTTAAGAAAGAGAGAATTGATATTGAAGCCAACATTTGCAAATTCAATATTTGCCCAGCTTGATCATACATTTCTGTTTCTCACAAAGATAAACAAACTTTCTTATGTTAATCTTATTTATCTAATGCAACTTACAATAATAAATAAGACAAGATTATTCAAGTTGCATTACCTTTGACCTGTTATTAGTCCGAATACCAAGAGTTATAAACTTTCAGTTGGATGAAACTTGACAGTATCCTTATATGGGATCAAGTTGAAGACTCAATTATTTATTATTATATGTAAATGTAAAATCCCCTTTAATGTTGATGAATTATTGTGCCATGACCAATTCTCTAACTTACGAGTTTCATAAGTATCTGTTTATAGTTCTTGCTCTGTTTCAAATAATGATAAGTCGATGGCAGTGAAATTGATGCAAGTGATTAGTTAGATTCAAGTGATTAATGGTTAAAAGATGACTATAGAGACAAATAGTATAATGGACGATTAATATATGACTTGCGTTTATACAGTTTTATTGTTCGTAAATCTTTTAAAATGGAATATTATAATATAGAATAACTTATTCTATATTGAATATATTATTTTAAAAAACTTAATTCATCAAAATACAATAATTATAAGGCAGCAATAAAATTGAATGTGAACGTTTTGAGATTAAAATTAGGTTATTTTTAATTGCAAAACTAGCAATTTGTATTAAAAAAACAAATGACATTTATAAAAAAAAGTTTTTAATTTGTTTAGTTCTCATAACTCTGGTACAACCTCGCTAAATAATAGGGATTCCTTATTCAGTACCGCCAAGAGAGAGGGGAGGGGACAAGTTACTTGTGTCGCGGGTGGCAGATAACCAAGGGGTGCCAAATGAAAAGAAGGCTTTAATATAGGAAAAATTTAGAGGCACCAATAAGGGTTGCTGTCCTAGGCGGCGTGACGGTTCTCGGCGGCCCTATCCCCATTTATTTTAACACGCATTACAAAAATCTCCTCTTTTTCAGCGGTTACCATATGGCAACCCTCTCTCTCTCTCTCTCTCTCTATATATATATATATATATATATATATATATATATATATATATATATATATATAAGGCCGTCCCGAAGAGATTTTAAAGGGGGAGGGTGATTTGTCTGTTTTTTGCCGGCTAAAGCCAAAAAAATATTTTTAGAACGCTAACTTATCTTAAAAAAAAAAAAAGGTCCTCATTTTCCGATATTTGCCAACTGCCAACAATAGATCCAATTTTGCCGACTCCAATTCCAATTTGCCGACCAAAAAAATTCGTAGGGGGCTAGACACCCTCCTCCTCAGGACGGCCCTGCAAGCATCGTTTATCTCTACAAAAATGCTAATTAAAGTTTTCGAAAATGTTTATTCGTGTTTGACATTTGTTAATAAACACATTTGGGATTATCTACTAAATCAATTTTGTTCAATGCTTCCACATGAGTATGAAGAACAAGCAAGTTGTTAAGCCGGGAATCTGTTGTTGTCGATCGAAGGTAGGTTTCAACTTTTGTTAAAGCGGAGAAAGATCCTTCACTAAGAGCATTAGAAGCTGTCATGACAAGAATTAGCTTGGCAATCTTTACAACTTTGGTAAGTAAACTTTTAGAGTGATCCAAACTCTTGGAAAACATGATGAGATCTTTGATAGTGAAATTTTTGGTGTCGTAGCCTAATGATGTTGCAATGCTTGGGTAAAGAGCAATTTGTGTTTTAGCTAAAGATTGATTGATGTCTTGAGAGCAAAAGTTACAAACTGATTGCAGGTGATTTTCCCAACTTTCCCTTTTTATTGACTTGAAAAGAACCTCCTGAAGATCAATTTATACTTTGCAATCAGGTTTATCAAACTTCTGTTTTATAAAATCGATAAAAAGATCAAACGCTTCAAAATACAATTGGTGATAATGTTCTTTTGGTAAATCATAGAGATGATATGTTTTTTTTGGGATTAGAGTTGCTTTTAAACAATCTGGAATTTTCTTTTTTCTCGAGAGTTTAGGTTCAGCGACACCAAGCTGGGTTTTCCATTTCATAACACTTTTTCAAAACAGTTTGTGAATTTCGCTACTTCAGGATTTTTCTAGAACATTACCAACGGGAGAAGTTAAGTACTGTCCTTCTTTTACCAAAATACTTTGACCTTGGAGTCCCTTACTTAGATTGTCCGTTTGTATCAGGAGGCATTCCCCTTAATAGCAACAAAAGATAAAATCAAATGTCCACATTACAAGCTTCACTCTCCGAATTCTTCCTACCATTTTGGTGCCACTCAATTCTTGCAATGACCATCTCCAAAGCTTCATTAGGAATTTCTTTTAGGTAACTTTTTGCATACATATGCTGTTCCAAAGGTTTCGTTGAGACTTGGAATATTTTTTGATGAGTTCACCGATTGCAAGGTTTAAAGCGTGGCCGTAGCAATCCGTGTATAAGCACTTCTTGTTAAATAACTTTATCTCAGTTGCTACTCCAGATTTAGGACAAGAAACATTAGCCACTCCGTCATAGGATTGACCTCGCGCATCTTTAAATTTCAAATTCATCCTGAAGAGAGTATCTTTGAGAACACGCACATTTTTTTTGAAAGTTTTTGGTAACGGATGCATACCAATGAACTCTTCGTGTGCTTTTAAATCATCATTGACCCATTGAAGACTAACAACCAGCTACTACGTATTGGAAACATCGCTTGTTTTATCTAAAAGAATGACAAAGAAAACATGATTTGAAACATATTTTTGCATATATGTAAATATATATATGTTTAAAATTTTTTACACAGAGGGGAATTGGGTACATAACCGCCCCCTTAACGTTTGGAATAATGTTGTATGAAAATAAAAAAAAATGCGTTTTTTTAACAGTTTATTTTAATAACCACATTATTAAGCCTTAAATTGATACAATTAAGAAAAAAATTAAACGGTTTTTGAAAAACAATTATACAAAATTACACTTAGTGAAAAAAACGGTTTTGCCCACATTGTGAGGCACAATCACACCCTCACAAAAATCGTTGGGGTACATTTTTGTGGTACATTTTCTTTACAATTGTCACAGCTCAGATTATTTTCTGATTTTGTTCTACGTTTGCTTACTGTGTATTCTTTGTATTTACAGTCTGAGTTTTCTCATTCGATATACTCTTAGCTTTATATATTAATTAAAAACTCATTTATAAAAATTAAATAAAAAAATACAAAATCTAATTTCCAACTTCTAAAAACAAAAACATTTCTATTCAAGTTTTTACACGAACGCGTGTTACATGAGTTTTTACATGAACGCATTCAAGTGTGACGATTATTGTTATTCGTAATTACCAAACTTTGATAAATATCAAAAGTATGTGGTTGTGCCTCCTGTGTGTTTATGCAGTTCCCGAGAGTTTATGCCCCAGAGGACAGTTTTTAGAAAGAATACAGTTTCATAACTTGCTTATTAGGTTATATTCATATCAAAAATAGTTTTCACTTGATGAAATAACGCTGATAACATCTATCTTTAACACTAAAATCAAATATTGCTTAATCCTAAAAAGTAAGGTCTGGAAAAATATGACATAAATATAATATTTTTATCAAAATAAACATCATTATGCACAACTTCAAGGAAGCGTAACAGGCACTTTTTTAGTTTTACTAACGCGTTGTATGTTTTTTGCCATATTAGATAACATTTTTTAAAGAGAAATGTTAAAAATATGCGGTTATTTCACTTCCCCTATATTCTTCTTTAACAATTAAAATGAAAAATTTTTTTAGGGGGCCAAGACCCCACTGCTAGTTACGGCTCTGCAAGATATATAATTGATTTTTTTGACGAGATTAAATAAAAAAAAACTGCATAATTTTTACTACTAAAAGTTTCATGCGTTTAGCATCCCAGTGGGCACCGAACCAAAAAAAGACGTCTTTTGAACGTTCAAAAGAGGTCTAAAACGTTCAGAAGACGTTTAAAGACGTCCAAAACGTGTATAAGACGTCATTTTTACGTCCGTGTCCTCTGGGATGACTCTTTTTCATCAATTTTTAACGATTTCGGGTTTTAAGTAGCATAGTTGTCTATATTATGAGAGTTATTTGCAAAAGAGAGAGTGATGGAGTATGGTATCATGTATGGTATAACATCAGAAGTCAAATAATATGAAAAACAATATGACTAGTAATTAAAAAAATACTAATAAAAAAGAAACGTTACAATACACATCAAAAACATTAAAATAAACCTAGTGATTCTAAAGTTGTTATAAAAATACAACGGAAACGCAAAAAGACTTTATTAAAAAGGTATTAAAAAAGAAACGATAAAATAAACTATAGTTTAGTTAATTTAGTAGCCTAT